AATAATTAAAAATTTCATTAAAAATTTATTAATAAACACTAAAATTATATCATTGTGACATAGGTAAACGTTTCGACTCTATTATTTGGGTCCTCTTCAGTACCAAAAAAAACCCCCAAAAAAATTTGTATAAATAAATGTGTAGAGTAATTATGTAACAGCAAGGTCGAAAGTTGCGAAGATTGTTTGGTACTGAAGAGGACCCAAATAATAGGGTCGAAACGTTTACCTATGTCACAATGATATAATTTTAGTGTTTATTAATAAATTTTTAATGAAATTTTTAATTATTAATAAATTGATTGTTATATCCTGTGTCGGCTCTAATAGGCATTGAAAGATTTTTATGCAGTTTGTTTATTTTGATTTCCTCAGTCGAATATAACATTCTTTCAGAGTCATATTTGTTACCGATACACAGTTACTGTGCTGTTCAATATGCATTTACACGAATTTCTGAATATTACATATAATGTTGATCGTTTATGGCATTATATAAGTGAGAAAAAAGTAATTCGTAATGAAATTAAGTGTCCGAGATGTGAAAATATAATAATATTCAATAGCACTGATATATGTTGTCAAGGTCATGACCATATTGTAAAGCAGAGAATTTTCGTGTTACATATATAGTTAAACTTCTTTTGTTAATAACTTTTTAACGAAGGACGAGCGACGGCTAAAACTTGGCGTAAGTTACTTAGGGTCATGACCTTGACAACATATGTCAAGGTCAAAGTCATAGGAGGGGGGTCCCCTATTCTGTAGTTTTACCGTATATTATACATTTAGTGGAATTTATTACAAGAAATTTCATTATGCACCGACAACTTAAAAATTATAAATATATATATGTGATTTCATTATCATTGTTAAGTATTCGTAAGGGATGTCCACCTTGGCTTGCAGAAAAGGCCTTAAGTATCGTCCTTCGTCGATGGACCACGTTTACATCCCGTGTCATGCTGTGCCTTTCGGTGTGACTTCTCGAAAGCGGCGTGGTCAAGACAAAACTCGTCTTTCAGTTTAATTCTTTATTTACCTCCTGGATAGCTACTCGGATTTCACAATAAACTTCGCTCAGCGATACCTTCATATCCACGACTAGCCGTACAGAGAGTCTCGGTAGTGTAAAGACTATGGCACATAAAAAAACTTAAGGCGTAAGACTTAAGCAGTAAGCGAATCGACCAATCACAATAGAGACCGTAAGACCATACGTAAGCAGTAGCGAATTCAACATGTAGGCCCGTCTACAATACACGGAGTAAGAAGTAAGAGTAAGAAATTGACCAATCACAGTCGAATGTGAGAAGAATAATCGACTGTGATTGGTCAATTTCTTACTCTTACTTCTTACTCCGTGTATTGTAGACGACGCCTTACTGTTTAAGTCTTACGTCTTAAGTTTTTCTATGTGCCATGGCTTTAAAGCCCATGACATACAAGAACGTAAGTCCGGATCTACAATAGGGTTTTAAGCCTTAAACCATAAGAAATGGGCGAATCACAGTCGCTTATTCTTCTCGGATTCGATTGTAATTGGTCAATTTCTTACGGCTTAAGGCTTAAAACACCTATTGTAGATCCGGGGTAAGGCCGTAGCACGCAAGCAGTAAGTGAATTGGCCAATCACAGTAGAGGCCGTAAGGCCAGTAGCGAATCCAATGTTAACGATTTCCTTACTGATTACGTCTTACGGACTTACGTTTTTCTATGTGCTCCCGGCTTTAAGCTGTAAGACGTAATCAGTAAGGAAATCGTAACATTGGATTCGCTACTGGCCTTACGGTCTCTACTGTGATTGGTCAATTCACTTACTGCTTGCGTGTTACGGCCTTACGTTCTTGTATGTGTCATGGGCTTTAACGGTTAGATAACTAGGAGACAGTAACAGAAAAAGTAAGTCGCACGCAGGGAAGAGGTGCGTAATAATACAAGAACGCGTCGCGCGCATACAGAGTTCGGCTTGTCGGTAACGCAGGAATTGTTAGGACGGAAGCCGATAACGCAATGGGAAAATTTTTATCCTTAACAAACCATCCGCCTTGAAGGGACTGCCCTTCAATCGATCACATTACTTACTAGCAACAAAATGGAATGCAAACTTGACAAAACGATCGAATCAAATTTCACTTAGTCTACTTACTAAATATAATTCGGCAAAAAAAATAAAAACTGTAATAACAAGAATGCGGTGACTAAAACTAAAATTAGATGAAATATGACGCAAGTGACAGATTTACAATCAAACGGAAAATTTACAATCTTAGAAAGGTCTTATATTTGAAACCTTCGTAACATAGCTAAAAAAATTATTGAAATAAAAAAAATGCATTTTATAGAAAATGAACAATACATTTATGATTTTTGACCAACATCTTAAGATAATCTTTTTTACAAAAAATATCAAATGTTGCAGAAAAACTATTTTATGCGTATTATACGTTAATTATTTCGAAAATCTGACGTAGTGGAGAAATTTGGTTTGCAGTATCGCCCATGCGTTTTCAGCATTCAAGAATCCGAGCAAAAATTTATAAAAAATACCTTATTGGAAGTAATTTTTTGCTATGTATTTGTGTTATTCGCAAACTTCTATAAGTAGACTGCTGACTTCGCCGCCATGTTTGAAGATAGGGTTGGACAGCACCGTGTTTAATTTCTCACACTCACACTTATATAAATCATACGGATAATTATTACTCAGTTTACGTCATATATTCACAGACTGGAGGCATACATGTGCTTACGGGAAACAAAACAAGAATAGCTCGGAATCAGGTTTGTCTCTTTCTATTGCATTGAATCAGCAGTCTACTTACAGAAACCTGTGGTGTTATCTGAACTTAGGAAATAATTAATTGATACAAATATTGGATTAGATAAATGATCTTGTTTTTTTTTATCCAGTAAATTATCTTTGTTAAGCATAATTATGTAGTTATTTAATATGGCCAGAATAATATGAGAACACCTGGAAGTCAACAGAAAGTAAAATAAGACCAGTTGTTTAATCAGAGAGAATTTTAACTTTACATATAAAATATACTTTAAGTGCTTTTGATAAAAAATGAGAGAACTGTTGGTTTATTTGTTCATAAAATTGAGGATACTTTAGTATATAATAACATATATTTTAATTAATTTTTTGATACAAATAAATAGGATATAATGTATTTGTATTAATAATATTGTATAATTTTATTTAAATATTAAAATATTTATTATATATACAAATGAATCAAGAATAAATGTTGTGAGCGTATTTCACACATTGTTGTGTTCTAATTATTATAAATTAAACTTGAGATTTGTGTGAGTATTGCTGATATGTTTATTTTTTATATGCAAAGAAAAGTTAAAGTAATGTTATCTAATCTAAAAAAAAAACTGAATATCTACGATTTTCGTCATCGGTTTATCTTTTCTCATTTTTAGTTCTAAATTATGCACGCTTAAACTTAAATTTTCTCGCTGATTCATCTGGTTGGTTACAATTAGCTATTTTTTGTAATTATGTTTACAATTGTTTATATAAATTATACTAATAATATAAACGTTATTAACAAAAGTAATAATATATACATTATTAATATATACATTATTAACAAAAGTATATGTCACCTATCTTTCGTAATTGGATTTTTCTCATAATTACATTAATTAATTACTATTCTATATTTTGGAAGAGTTAAAAAATTTGCTACGTTTAAGCATTTTTATTCGCGTATCTCTTGTTGTGATTTTTTAGTAGCACTTCTCGTAGTCATCATATCTTGAATTTCCTATTAACATCAACAATAGTTAACATGCAACATTTACACTGAACTCAAAATAAAGCTTTCTATATCTCGTAACGAAGTAATATGCAATATGTAATTGAATTACCTGTAACGTTTTTCCTTTTGTCTCTGGCAGTATGGTGAGTGCATATATTAAGCTCATCATGATGATCACTGCATATATCCAGAAAACATACTTTTCGCTCATGAGATCTACCAATGGCTGATATGTTCTTGAGGCGACGAATGCGAATGTCGCTGACGTAATACTTCCTAAGAATCCAGCCAAGCTTTTCAGATCAGAAGGAAATGTTTCACTTAGAGTTGTCATAGGTACCGGTACGAGTCCGAAGTGCAACATCATGAACAACAGTAACGATAGAATAATCAACCACTCGAGATTACCGGGATTGTAGCCGTAGTCTAACAAAAAGAAATGTAAACCTAACAACACCGAGCCGATCATCACGCCTAAAGATGATATTGCTAATAGGATTCTGCGACCGTAACGATCGATGGCAAATGTTCCCATCCAGCCGATAATTATACCTGTAATAATAGTAATAATTGGACAAATTAATCTAATTCTTTAAGTCTAACGACTTTAACAGAAATAAACGGAGTTTGCTTAAAATTAGTATAGAGTAACTTCGGTATATACGCCGCACCTAACAAAAATTTAATTTCTTAATTTATTATTATCAGAGTTGGGGAGCGTTACTTTTTCTGTTATTTTTCCGTTACTTTTTATAATATGGTGTTACAATTTTTTATAATTAAATGCTAAGGTTGGAAAAGTTAACTTTTCCAATCTTTGCACAATCTTAGCGTTTAGTTATAAAAAATTGCAACGTCATTATCAAATTGTTTATAAAAAATAATGGAAAAAGTAATGCTTCCCAACTTTGAGTATTATTTATTATGTTTTAGATAAATGAACTATATCAGTATATATAAAAACTTTTTACTGTCTACACCGTATAGCGTCAGATTGACACTACATTGTTAGAAATTTCTTAATGAATTTTAATTAACATGTAAAGGAAGCATGTGTGGTTATGCACGAAATTAAATGTAATGAATGATGTAAATAAAAACTAAATTACAGTAGTTTTAAATGTGATGAACGTGTGTATTGAAATTAATGAACACATTATTATAGAAATTAATTTACACGTTAATGAAAAGTACGAGATCTGTAACTGAAAAGTAATTTACGTTAATGACATGTAAGAAACGTAAACGTATTAAACGTTAAGCGTTAATAGTATTAGAATTAATTAAAATATTATTAATATTCGTAAATGTAAAAGTACATTAAATTTCATTAATATGTACATTAATAGTTATTTCAATTACGATTAATTAAATGTCATTTATATCCGTAAATGAAAAGTATATTAAATTTCATTACACTTAATTTTTCAGTTACTGTAAACTTAAATCTCATTAACATGTGCATTAATAGTCCTTTCAGTTACAGAGAAATTAAACTTCATTCACCAATGTACATTAAAAGTTAAGGAAAGTTAAGAACATTTCTAACAGTGTATATAGTGTCAAATTTAAACATTGTTTTGGTATAAAATAACGATATATTGAGTGGGAACAGTGGCGACTTAAATTAGATTAAATTCGATACTCTATAGATTTAACAGTGTGCAACAGAAGGATTGTGTGCACATTACCCCTATTCCTTTTATTTTTTTCTGACTTCTGCGACATAAAGGCCATGGTGGTACATAGAAAAACTTAATGGCCTCCTACAATAAACCATTAGTCATAAATCAGAAGTCAGAAGCTAAAAATTGACGACTGTGATTGGCCAATTTTTAGCTTCTTACTTCTAATTTATGACTAATGACTTATTATAGAAGGCCCATAAAACTTAAGACTTAAGCAACAAGAAAATTAACATGTTGGATTTGCTACTGTTTACGTTATGGTCTTCCGATCTCTACTGTGATTGATCAATTCGTTTACTGCTTAAGTCTTATGTCTTGAGTTTTTCTATTTTCCATGGTGTCTTAAATCCTCGCACGGCGTAAATGCCGGAGTTACCTGATATAATAATTAAGATAATTAACAGTTGAGATACAAGAAAGTTCTATCAATATCAAATTGTTTATAAAGATAACACGGAATGAAGAGATAATTATATTATCATTAGTATTGGAAGTCAAACATACTGACTGCACCGACGATCATCACTACAGTTGAAGGTATGATTGATGTCACCTTTCCTTTCTTTAGAATAATTTCCATGTAAAATACAATAGTATTTAGTCCACTCATTTGCATAAACATGAAAAGTATTATCATTATTATGAAAGAGCGTCGATTTTTCGGCTCTTTCATCTGATACAATCGTTCCCTTATGTTGATTGTACGCGTTGAATTCACGAAAAGTTCCACGGCTTCTATTTCGTTTTTTATATTAGATTTTCGGTAATACCATCGAATAGCTTGTTCCGCCCTAAAATTATGAAAATAATACATAAAAGTATCTTGTTAATTTATCCAGAATTTTCAAAAAAATTACATCGAGAGAATAACATTACTTAATTATCATAATCGTTTTATGATTATCGATTTTATTTTTTATACACTTACAATGTTTAATACTTATATTTTTTTGTCGTTATATTTTTTATATATCTTTTATTTTTTTCATAATAAATATAAGTTATGCCTGAGAATGTGTTACACAAAGAAATATGTACAGATTCAATTACTTTTATTCATATAAAAATATAAAATGTATTTTTTAAATATTATTAAATATAAAATTAAATATTTTTTCTAATAAATAATAGAATTTAAGATACTTAATAATAAAATAAATTGCAGAACGACAGAAGAAAGTAAATATTTTTTTTTAATTTAAAAGATTTAGACATTAAAAAAAATTAAAAATTATATTTTTGCATGGTTACTAATTTCATAATATCTATGCATTTTATATGATCTCTGGATTTTGTAAAACAGTTATACTTTCACATTTTATTAATTGTACAAATTAAAAAATTGTGATCAGAATAAAATATTTAAATATATTAATTTTTTTTTACTCATATACAAGAAAACACGGTTTATTAAAAAAAAACAAAGTTTTTGGAATCGCATTTTTTAAAAATTGGTTGGTCATCTTATGCGACAGGATGCAACGACAACTTTTTCTGTGTCATATTCCATTTATTTATCGAAAACTGTTTTAGATAAATTTAATTATAATGTGGAATCTTATAGTGAGAGAGAGGACACACACACACATACAATATGTTGTTTGTTGAATAGCTCATTTTTTGTATGCTTGAATTATTTTTGTTACTTGATAGTTTATTTTGCTTCTTCGTATTTAGTCGATTTAGGCCCGACTGCACCAGCGTTACTTTGGTAAGGGTCCAAACCTCTCTGGCTGTCCCTCTTTCTCGGCTAAGAGAGAAAGTGAGAACTTTTAGCCTCGCTTAAAGTCAAAGTAACATTTTGGTGCAATCGGGCTTTATTCAAATAAACGGTCCTGTTCCTAATCTTATTATTGATAACAAGTTAAATACAGCTGTTTTCTTGTTTGTATGAATCATTTAAATCTTATTGTGCACATGAGAAAGGCTTTTTATCAAAAAGTTAATATGTCAGAATGAAACATTTTTATACTTGATATAAAACACACATCTTTTTAAGATCTATTAGGTGTTAAACTTAATTCCTATCGCTCGCTACTAGAGAATGCTGGCTCCAACGCTAGCGAGTTTCGACGATGAAGTAACATGTCTTTTGTAGTTTAGACATCGCTGACAGTGATTCAATCCTCACAGATTAGATTTCTCGACGCCAAAGAGATTTTCCAATCGACTGAAAATGAATCGCGATAAGCTGTTTTTCCGACATGTGCTTCTTCACTACTTGGACCTCAAGAAAACCGCAGCGAAGCGCATCGCTTATTATCCGAAGTGTATGGTGATGACACTCCATCGGAAAGAACATGTAGAGTTTGGTTTGAACGCTTCTGAAACGGTGATTTTGATGTGAGAGACAAAGAACGTTCAGGATAGCCGAAAAAATTTGAAGATAGCTGCAAGAATTGCTTAATGAGAATCCAGCTCAAACGCTTTTAGAATTGTCGAAACAGTTAAATGTTACTCCAAAGGTCGATTGAGCGACGAATTGATGCAAAAAAGATCATCCGTAGCCATCAATCGACGCAAAGTCATTTTGTTGCATGATAACGCTCGACCGCATGTCGCGAAAAGCGTGAAGCAGACACTTCGAGAGCTTGAATGGG